AGTGGTTTCCGCGCCTAAAAAAATGCTTTAAAGGTATTTTCTTGTTTATTAAGATCGTAAGAATGTTTTAAAAACGTTTAAAAGAAAAGTCCAGAAAGTTAAGAAATACCGAAACTATAAACACGAAATGACAGGTTAAATCGTAGTTTATAATAGTCAATCAGCTGATCATAGTATTATTATCTTTAAGTGTTGCCAACCTATTTCCAAGCGTACACGGTTTACGTGCATAATAGAACCACGCTGTTTTGTGTTGTTTCGTTGGAATCCTGATGTGCGGCAAAGTATAAACCGTACGACAAAGTATAAACCGTACGGCAAAGTATAAACATGCAGCAATTAGCAGCTTTCTGTACTATAAACAGTACAAGGAAGCCAACTTTGTCGGGTGACTGTAGGAAAAAATGATTTGTATTGCATGCATCACCTCTTGCACTAAGAGAAAAATATAGTCCTACTCATACTAAATAAAAAATTAACAGTTTTCTCCCGAAGGTGTAACAAAAGCCAGGACACATAAACCCAGGCTGTGTATATCAGCTGATAGATTTAATAACTGTTCTTTTCCTATGATCAATAAAAAGCTTATGGAAGGGAAAAAGAAACCAAGTTGATGTCCTGTAAACCAATCCACAGATTGTATATGTGAGTAAAAATAAAAATGTTTACATCAACATACTTTTTAGATTTTTTAGTGTGATGGTGACTACACTAGGGTTGTGCATGTAAAACCAGCAGACACCAATTCGGCACCATAACTAGTTGCCAAACGCAGTAATCTGGCTATTATACCATCATGAAATAAGTTTACTCCTTTCTGCTCCATATGAATAATTTTATAATTGAAGTCAATCATTCTAACAAATCTCATGAGTTTTGATAACATTAGAAATATATGGTATTAGCAATTTGACACATACTCTCTCCAGTGGCGGCGATGAGACCCCGCGGCCCACCTCCCGCAAGTTTGTTAACCCCCTCGGCCCCCAATAATCTTTAAAAACATTATCACTGGTATTTCCACCTAAACTTGCACTTTTGCTTGACACTTTCTACCAAGGCAATATCATCGTCTTCCATGATCGCGTCAAAATCGTGAATACTTCCCGTAGTCGTGGAAACATTATCATAGTCTACCGTTATTGCAACAAAACCTAGGACATCATTAAATAACAACATCATTGTCTCCTATATTTACGGCCCAATCCTTAATATCTCCCACAGAAAAAACTTCATAATCGTCTCCTGAGATAGCGAAAAAATCTTGAATATCTCTCATGGACATGGAAACATTAAAATCGTCTTATACGAGGGCTATCCAGGAAGTAAAGAACGTTCTGTTATGACGCCGCTAGGGGTGCGCCGATCTCGTACATTTTGGTGCGTGCACACTCGGCAACTCAGTCGGCGTCCAGCCATTACAATGGGGGCATTCTGGCGCTGCACGTTTTTTCACAATTTCAACTTAAGATCAATGCTGCAATTGAAAATCCCGTCAGTTATGAGGTGTGGTCGGTGATACAGTTTTTGTTGACAAAAAACTTAAAATCGATAGACATTTATCGCCAAGTGGGCGATCGCCAAGTGGGCGATTGCCCAAGGCGGCGGGGCCGGGGAGGTGGGGCCGGGGCGGGGGAGCCGGGGCGATGGAACCGGGACGGCAGAGACAGGGCAGCAAACAAATTTGAGGGAACTGTAAATTTTAAAATATGAATAAATTAATAAATTCATTATGTGAATGTGAAGAGTAAAATTTTTTATATAACATTTTACGCAAAGTACAAGCCTAAGAACATAAACGCCAATTCAAGCATCGATTTAAAACTATAATTCAAGCCCAAATACAAACCACTCGGCTTGTATAGAACAACTGCCGCCATCACGTTACGACATTACCCAGGACAGTGAGTGACAGCGTCAAAGCAAAAGCAACAGTGCAGTGGTTGGGATTGAGCTTGACATATTCCTCCCTGCCACTTCCCCTGACGTTGTGTTTATTATTGTGGTAGCATTGGCTTCCCTTCCCTCTGGGTTACGAATTGCGATTGGCACTTGTGTTGTCTGTCACTGAGTTTCTTTAGGTGCTTTTGCTGTTGGCAGTTGTCAGTGATTGTATTAAATCTGTTTACGCTATTTTTTTATAGCTTTTAAATACCTTAAGCTCACTAGTTCAGTTTGTGTGGAGATAATGTAGTTTATGTGTGCCCGAACGTAAAAATAATTTCATCAGATATTTTTTGGTACTATTCCCTAAGATTCACATCATTTTGTCAAATCTTTGCAATTGTAACTTAACAGCTGATTACTTTCGGGTAAATTTTTTAGAGTCGGTAGGACCACCGGCCATCTTGGATTTTCCCATAACGGCAATGTTAATTGTTGAAGCATATTACGGCATTGTAAATTAAGATACAAAGTTGCAGAATGTCTCATTTTAAAGTAAATCAAAGCGTGAATGTGATTTGCTATCTACTTTTAAATTTTAATTGTTACTATTTGGCAAACTACATAAATATATTGATTTATTTGTACTGTGATTTTGTCAACCTCCAAAACAAATCCGAAAAGCAATTCACATCCGCGGTTTCAATAGCTTTAAAATGTGATACCTATTTTGCAACTTTTTATCTTAATAAACAGTGTCGTAATATACTTCAACATTGCCGTTATGGGGGAAATCCAAGATGGCCGAAGGTACTGCTGACTCTTAAGTCAGATTTTAAACAAAAAACAAAAATTTATCTCTGCAACTATGAACTAGTTTATGAAATGAAAATAATTTTAAAATGTGCATTATACACTTGGAACCCTTAGTACATATTATTTAAGAGTTCAGGGAGACACTGTAGTTCGGCGATTGTTCAAGGAAGGGATGGAGCCCGGGAGTAAACAATTAGACGGGATGTATTTGGGAGGGAGGGGGGCGGCGGTTGCCGATCTCGCCCAGGGCGGCAAAGACCCTAGGGCCGTGCCTGGTAATGAATAAAAGTTCTGTGGAAAATGGTGAATTCAGTTTAAAAATGGCTGATTTGACGCTCATAAGTCATGACAAAGCGTAGGGCGAACGCCCAAGCATTGTGACTGATGGAACTGGTCGCTCAATTTGATTAAAACATTTGCGTAAACCGCCAATCCCCGGTAATGGAGCTTTCGCTTTGTTGTGTGATAATTTCAAACAACAAAGTCCGTGAAACTTGAGGAGAAGTTCCGGTTTTAGTTTTTTACCAACAAAAACTGTATTACTGACCGCACCTCATAACTGGCGGGATTTTCAATCGCAGCGTTCATCTTAAGTTGAAATTGTGAAAAAACGTGAAGCGCGAGAATTCTCCCGTTGTCATGGTTGGACACCGACTGAGTTGCCAAGTGTGCACGCACCAAAATGTACGAGGTCGGCACATGCCTAGCGGCGTCATGATGAAACGTTCTTTACTTTCTGGATAGCCTTAGTATTATCGCAGCAAAATCCTGAACATCTCCTGCGATCGTTTGGACATCATTATCGTCTTCCACAATCGCTGCAAAAGATAAATATCTCACGCAGCCGCGGAGACATCGTCATCGTCATCCGCGAGGAAATGTTCTCCTCGATATCCACGATCGTGGCAAAAGCATTAATCTTACAATCTCGTGAGCTTCTTTGGTTAAGCTCAAACTTTTAGGCTAGGCTCTGTTCCGCTCAAAATCAATATTTTATATTAAAAATCAACAATTGTTTTCAAAGCAAACCGATTTTGAACCGACCTGATTTCGGCCCGAGACCCATAGGTAACATTTTTGACCTGACTAGAAGTAATCAAATGTTCGCGGCCCCCCTAGCTCACGGCCCCCCCCAAACCGCGGGTCCTGTAGGCTTTCTATCGCTGCCTCTGATTCCTATTAGTCAACGACCCTTATCTCATTAGTAAGCAGTGGAAGTAACTATTACTTAACCAGTAACTTAAATGTAAGTTAAAATAATGCTGTTGAATAAAGACGAGATCCAACCATCTGTGATGTACTAACCAGGGGCTCTGCACCATGTTTGGCTAGGAAGATCAGTCGTAACTCCGTATCCGTTGATGGTCCAGGTGGTGGTATCGTAAATACTATTCATGTGGTGGATTGTGAATGGAGCAATAGTATCATTCTTGTTCCATCCATCGTCTTGGTAGTAGTTGATGTTTAGGTATTGGATAAGTCCATCATCATCAACACCGGTCTTAAAAAATCAACACATACCGTAATATAATATATGATAAAAATTTTATACAGTTTACTGATAATTTTCAGGTATATTTGTTTTGTTTCGGAGGTCATTGATTAATGTTGGAAATGTAACTTGAAATTAGCTCAAATATATATCTTATTTTTGTTATCATTGCAAATATCCAATTTAAGCCGCCTTAAACTGATGTATATCAGTGATTGTTTGAACAATTTTCTAATGTATTTTGGAATTTGCAGATGGACCAAAAAAGGAGAATAGAACGTAATCATTTCTAGCACTGTAAGCAATCACACATCCAAGCTTCTGTGACTGTTTCAATGGGCACAAAACAAAGCAGGTAAAACAGTAAACTTACTGACCTCGTATTTGAAGAGACATGCAGCCCGTTTGCCTATAGCATCCATGTTGCTCTCGATACTCATCACCATACGTACAGGACGCTGTAGCTGGTATGCGCCCAAAGCACAAGCAACGGCTACCACTCCTGATTTGCCCAACTTGCTTCCATAGCCTCCTCCACATCGACGGATAGACAAATTCACACTGAAATAAAAACTCATATAGTGTGATTTGAGAGAGAAAATTTATCAAGCTAGAGCTTGACAGTCAATGAATTAGAATAAAATGTTCCAAGAATGAACCAGAGGTTTCGTCAATCTTCAGTTGCATTCTTTAAGCCTTTTTAGTGAATTAACCCTAAAGGGAATAAACTACTGCAGATCGTAAAGGTAAAACCTAGTCCCGAGACAGATTTTTGTTTGTTTTGGTGTCTCCAGATTCTAAAAACAGTATTTAAAGTTTTTGTTTGTGTCCGTGAACATAATAACTCAATCAACCTTGGTCAGGCAAATGACAAGAATCTCTATGGCGTCCCTACTTATAACCATTGAGATTCTTGTAATTCGCCCATTGGGTCTGATGATGATTGGAGTGTCCAACCAAAATCGATCACAACCTGGCATCTATTATATGTATTAACCGTCTTGTGAGTCAACAGTATAAGTGTAAATATATTATTACAAGTGTTATTTGACGTATATTTTGTACTTTCAGGTAATTTAATAACATGTACGATGCTGATTAAGAAGTTATTTATTTAGTAATGCTATTAAGAAGACTCACCCACTGTACAGGTAAGCCGGTTCTTCCTATCAAAAACCAAATAAAGCCAGGGGTGCCAAGAGGGGGGTACCGTGGAGCGCTTTCGATACAAATTCTGAATTGTAAATTGAAAAAGTTCCATCTATTAGTTAGATATAAAATTTGTATCGTTAAATGACACTTGAAATTTTCATTCTATGTGGTAAGGGGAAATTGCCAAGTAAATTTGCTGTGGGGAGGTTTAAATAGAGGGCTGCATATAATGGGGGGGACTGCTCTCTCTGGCTTGGGGGGTGGGGGCTGCGCCTCTGGTTTTGGGGGGATGGGCACCTCTGAATAAGCCTATCTGGTCAGAATTCTTAATCAAAATACCTGAGACAATAATTAGTACCTGTTTCTAGGAATGCCACAAGCCTCTGCAATACCATCCTGGACTTGCGTAGGACATTGTGTAGCAGGATACACATCTAGTCCGTCCTCCGACGGCAATGTCACACAAGTCTGGGTCTCCATGGTAAAGTGATATTGACTCGGCATCCAAAATGATCCTTTCACCTTGTGCTTAACATTGGCTGTAAAATCAAGATCATCACCCATACAACGAATGGTATTTGAAATTGATTTGATCAACATTATGAGTTAAATGTAGGCAATGATAGTTTTACAAAACTTTTGTGTTAAAGTGACACTATTTTATAGATCATTCTTCAGGTTTATACTAATAAGCTCTACAGAGAGTTCTAAGGAAGTTTTTATGCCAAATCTCCAAAACATTATAGTAAATTTATTTCTTAAAATATACTCAGTAAAGTTCGGTACTTAGTATTTTTTAGTGTTAACCCTTTAAATGTTCATGTTTATTTATCACTAGATCACTGTGATAAATAAAACGATATCATACCGCCCCTTAAAATTGCTGCCTTGAGAAGGTCTTTAAACCCAATTTTTACATGTTTTGTTGTATAAATATATATTTTGACACAATTGTGTCTTTATCATTAAATGAGCTTGTACTTAAACCTACATTTAACCTTGTCTTGGCTCATATATGCTGTCATCAACCAATTTTATCACTTCAGTTTAAGCATACATGTTTTTCTGTTTTTTGTTTGTGTGTAACCTTAAAAGAGATAATTATATAACACAGCCATTTAACTTGTGTTAAAACCTAGTTTTTTTACGTACTGATCTGGATGGATGAAGTCACAAAAGTAATAAAACAGGGTTGAAACACGATCACTTTACCATTTTAAGGTATTTCAGCTTTTTTATTAAATGTTGAAACATTATTTTTGACATTGCTATGCATTTTGAATTCCGTATCTAATGCACATTGAAGTACACTCTTAACTCTAAATCTAGGAACATTAACATCAGGCTAAAAGTTGAAAAAATCATGAGCTGTTTGACATATTTCATTCAATTTATAGGTACATCTAGCAGCAATAATTAAGCTGACCAGTTTAAACTCACTTTTGACAGAGTCAGCTTTCTTTTGTGCAGCTGGTCCCCAGATTCGGTTCTTGTCACCGCCCTCAACTATTTTCTTGACGTCGATCTCAGGTTTTTGGACACCCTGGTAAGTAACCTTGACCAAATTTGCAGCTTTCATAGCAAGCGTATGAGACTCTGCAAACACAGTAGCCAGGGGATATCCTGCACATGGTATCTTCTTGTCTGCATATAGCTGCGAACATAAACAAGGATATTGATTGAGGACAGTGGCAGTTCCATAGGGGTAAAGCCCCAGTTGAACTCTAGAAATATAAATTCAAACAAAAAATGAGTAATTAAATATGTAATGGAGGTTTTGAGACACAGTTCTAGACATTAAACCCCCCCCCCCCGATTTTTAAGGTCCTTCAACCACCTGATTTGAATCCTGATTGAGGATGCACAGTTTGATAGCAATATACCTAGATCAATTAATAAGAACTTGGCTGAAATAGCCTTGGCTTGAACCGCTTAGGATGTCTTGAATCACTTTTTGAGTTATTCTTTTTCTATTGTAAGTTCATAATGAAAAAATACATTTTTATTTTCATTATCTAAAGATTACTGAGGTAGAGATGATGATTTAAAGTTTGTTATATTCTTGATTAGGTAAACTGCAATGATAACTTCCCAAAGAGTGTATTACTTTACATCTTTTATAAGCTGTCAAATAGACTCCAAGCTTGACTGCCCAGAATTTCATATATACATATGTAATAACTCACAGGTTCATCAACAACTCCTCCAAATGCTACCGGATAAAGAACAGAGTTTCTGCCAGGAATATCCTTTGCCGTGTGAACAGCCACAACTCCTGGGAGTTTCTGCAAAGAAGAAACTGTTTTGTAAAACATTAAAATGGAAATGTCTGTGACATGATCTATAATCAGTAAAAGTCCTCAAATTCTGCAGCAAGCCATCTAAATCTCTTCCTCAAAACACAGCATCTGGGTTTCAGATATTTTGCATGGTCGATCTTTGAGTAAACATTTAGAAAAATAATTTAACAAATGTTTTCAAACTGCTGATGAAGAATTTAAGAACAATACTGACGTTACATACAGTACTGTTCTAACTATTATTGTTCTTAGGTCAATCTCACATTCTATTGGAAAGGGGGGGGGGGGTGATGATAGGGGTGGTAGGGAGGATATAGAGAAGAGCTTATAGGTCTAAGTTAATTTTAGCTTCTGATACCTCAATTTTTACAAATCAAGAGCTGCAGTGAATTGATTTAATATTGATATTTGCATTTAGATGTTGGATGAGTTAGAGTGAAAAAGGTACACTTGTGAAATAATTAAAGTTAATGGTCTAAATTACTGCTACATCTAAAAAAAACAGATATGTATTGGATATATGGCTGTTTCCCTTTAAAATGTCTGAAGATGGCTTTGACAACGCAAAGTCAATTTGTCTGTTCTACAAATCAATTTAGTTCCTTACAAAATACTTACTATACATATGATGCCATGTAATTATCCCAAGTAGCATTTGTGTTTATCGAACTGTTTTGAGTAGGGTGTTAACACAAATCCTATCATTTTCAAATTCATGTTTTATTGCTGTGTTTCTTCACTTTCCACCATTGATTCAACTCACCAAAGCCTCAGATGCATCAAGGGTGAAGGAGTCTGCAGGTCCTTTGGTTGACAACACGAAAGCTCCGTAAACTTCATTTGGTTGATTAGGAATATCATTAGCGTATTCAGCCTCACCTAGCAAACAATATTTGATAAATAAAAATACAGCTTGATGCTGTGAAATTTTTTAGAATTAACCCTCTAGGTGTCAATCACCGTAATTACTTGAGTTGAGGTTAACTTGGAGGTTAACTTGATACAGTCTGACTGTTTGTGGTCCTAAATAATTTATATTTTTCAAAATTTTAAACAAGTTTTATGTTAAAAATGTTGTTGTATAATAAAGTTCTACCAATTTATTGCAAATTGAATGGATAGACTGCAGTTTTTAGTGAAAAGTTTTCTTTTAGAAGTATAAAAACACTCTTACAATACAAGAGGCAAATCCAATCTAGAAATCCCTGCCCATAGATTGGCCAAAACACATAACTGCCATAAAATAAATTGCATACGGTTTTTTAATAAATTAGGTCCGGCAGCAAAACTGGTTCCTTTTAATAGGTTTAAGTCAAAAATGTTTGAGTGGCTCATCAAAAATCCATATTATTGTATAACAGAATATTTACTTTCTAATGTTGACATTGATTTTTAATATAGACTACTGTATTTTTTATAGTTTTTATAGTTTTAGTTTTGACTATGTCTATTCCTTGTAAAAGGTCAATGACAATAAAGTTCTTGATTCTTGATTCAATGTATAGATAATTTTTTTTTGCTTTAAGAACATATACAATGTTATATATCTATGTCATCATTTAGATTTTTTATTAATTTTTTAATCAAACTCCACAAAAGTCTTGAAAACTGAGTGACATTTACAGGTGGTCAATGCGTCACCTAGAGGGTTAAAGAAATAAAAACAATGTTGATTGCACAGTTAAAATTAAACCGTCCTCTCTCATTAAGAGTTTCTGTGGTTTGGTAAGACTATTAACATTAAATAATAGAACATTCATCAAGCAGAAAATTACTAAGCGAGTGGGTTTTAAATTGTTTAATTTTAGATTAAAAATGCATTCTGAATATACATTTTCTAACTTGATTTTAATCCTCGACAGATTGTTTTGACAGAAAAAGACTAAAAAGAGAACTAAAAACAACAGTTCTCTTTTTCTCCTGCGGTTCTCCTGCCGCCCCTGACGGGTGCCGCCCCTAGGCACTGGCCTAGTGTGCCTAGTGGGAAATCCGTCCCTGGAGCCAAGAGGGTATACTCATTGCCGTTTTTAACGGAACTAAAAGTGTTAGGGCCAAAAAGAAGCCTTGTTAATAAAAGGAGTGTTCTTGTTAACATTTTTAATCCACCTAATCTTGTGTTGACCTCCGGGGGGCGAGCTGGTCTATGGGTGGACTCCGGGCTTTGGAGCCTGAGGTTCCGGGTTGAAATCTGGCCAAACACCAATGGATTTTATCTTTTTATGTGATAATGCCGCGACCCTCTAGGACAAGCCTGAAGTAATGTATAAAACAGTTCCAGGCTAGAACCTAGCGTCGTAGGATTTGAAGGTAGGCATAAAAAAATCTAGTGTTGACCTACAAATGTTTAATACCTGAACATTGAGCCAATGCCTCTATCTTGGGGATGGGTTTGCTGACCGGGTAGAGGGATGGGTCAGTGGAAATCTCCTGATGACCCGAGGAGACGGGTCGAGTCAGGATCTCTCCTCCACTGCGGAGAGGGGGGGCCAAGGACTGCGGCGACACTCCTAGCACAAACTGTCCAAGGAAGGTCAGAAAAAATAGTATTTCTTCACAACATATACATTCTTTAATATTAGTCCAGTGACCTGATTTAATTTATTATATGACAATGAGCATTATATCTAAAAAATACAGGAATCAATTACAATTGTTTTCAAGAAAAAAATCGGAGTAAAAAATTTATTTAGTAGGCCTATAAGGTGTTTCAAGGAGTTGCTTATTTGAAGTAATTTCAACTTCATATTTAGTCTAAAAAGATTTTTTAAATATAGTTCTGTGTTCAATACGGTTTTGTAAATATGATAGTAAATTCATAATTAATCATTAATTTTATTAACATTTAATTAACAGTGTGCGTAGGTTTTTAACATTTATTTGTATGTTAATTATTTATTTTAAGTCTGTAAAATGTATTCCACTCTACTCACACACACACACACACCACGGCAATTCCCCTCCCTCATATTCTCCTCAAAATCATACGATGCCTACGTCATATGGCGTGATCTATCTCTGTCTCTTTCCCTCTCATGGAAAACTCAAATTTCCCCACCATGATTTTATTCAGTTAGCGTCTAAAACCTTCCTCGATCAGACGTATGTGCCGCGCCGCGCCGTTTTTCTGGCAATCTCGGTCTTTTGACCACCTCGTGGTGGAAGTGTCCCCACATTAAAAACCTCTCTATCTCTTATCAGTGAATAATAATATTAAATTCTCCCTTTCGAGTGTGGGCAGTGCATCAGAACTTCAAGAACTTCTTGTGTGTCCCTCAGCGTGGTGAGCTCACCCAATCCCCATTCCCCCTGCTACCTTCCAGTGTTGGATTTTCTCATTAAAAAGGTATGTGCAACTGTTTTTCTCAACTCTTATCAACTCCCATATCAAACATTTTGGTCCTTCGAGCCCGATGTGCTTTGAATCACGCTTTGGAAACCTGCCACTTTGCAACTTTGTCCGCGTCCTTTGTAAAGCCACATGTTTATTTTTCGTTATTATTTCACTGAACTCAAGTCTCAAACTCTCATAATTTTCTGTGCAGTAAACACTAATTTGACTGTGCAAAAACTCTGAACATTTTGTAGTACAAGTGCTTATTGAAATTACTAATTTCGTTTTAGCGCGGAATCGCCAATTTTTTTCTTGGTCGCGTCGGCTGTACACGAACGAGGGAAACAACGCTTCCCCCTCTTTGCAAATCAACTAGAACTGTATTGGACGATATAAGCGCCTGCGTGAACATCGTTTGGTGATCGTATCAATCGTGATCGTTCTCCCCCCAATGATCGATCCAACTTGGTGTTGTAACTAGTTGCTGTAAGCAGTTTTTAAGAATTACCTTTAAAAAGGTATTTATACCATTTTAAGGTGTTAAAAAGTAAGAAAAATTAAATTAAGTGCCATAGTCATAGTTTTATTGAACCTTTATAAATCTTCTGGTCTTATGAATCTTTATTCATAAGTATACATAGTTATAGATGAAAATTGTAAAATAAACTAAAACTAATGCTTAAACTATGATATAGCCATTTTAAAGTAATCTAAAGAAAATAAGGACAGTTCTTATAAACATTCATTGGGGTTTTATTTTTAATACTGGATTTTTGTTCCAATTTAATTTATAAAGGAATATACTTCAAAGGGTAATAAAAGTCCTAATTTTTCACCATAATGTCAATAGTAATAAATCAATGAAATTTGTCTTTTTGTAGGTACTTACGTTTATCTGTAACAATTATTTATTTAAAAGTTTGGTACTTTACCTTATAAAACAGAGAACAAGCAAGTCCACGACGGAATTCAGGACTTGCATCTGGTTCTTCATGGTCAGGTTTAATTTCTGCTGACAGTTTTTGCAAAACTGATTTCAGTGTGTTGGGGTCCAAAAGTTCTTTTCCTACTGATTCATTCTCTGCTGCTGTCGCATGTACCTGTTCAAATGAAATTGTAAATATAATAAATTTCTCCTACCACTGCATGGGGATTATACCATTGCCACAACTGTAAACAGAGCTGGGTTGTTTGAAAATTCACTTTAAAAATATTAAAGGAGTTGCACTTAACACTTTATGAGATTGAAGCTATAGTGATTGATGTTGAATCTTTATAATATAGTAACCACCATATGAACGAGAAATATATAATGATTTACTAACAAAAGAATAATCCTTCAGGTATAGGGGAAGGTCGGGTAGTATCGGACACTAAGGCTTTTTTCCCACTTTCTAATTAGTGATAAGAGAAATCATTATTTACTATGCATTACATCAAAGTTTGAAATGCTATTTATATACACAATCAATACAATATTTCTTTTAAAAACGCATATAGGGCCTATCACTTTTCCACACTTTTTCTAACCCTTACATTTGAGCTCATCTGATTTTTGGAGGGTAATATCGGACAGGGTTAACTACAACTGCTTTTAGGTAAAATACAACTACTTGCAGCCTGAAAACACACTTTTATCGTTACGAATTGTTTCAACACTTTAAAAAACTTAACTTTAAGTATAAAAAATGGGTTTTACAATAAACGTTTTTTTACAATAAAAAAGGTCTACTTAATCTTTGCTAAACCAGATGCTCGTTGCAGGCTGGTTGATTCTGCCGTCCTCATCCTCAAGTCTGGGATGCATGCTCATAAACAAATCTTTACCTGGTTTTGTTTTTCTTAATTAAATCTAGTCTTAATCTTTAAAGCTTTAGCGTACTGGTAAGCAAGATTTAAAAATTTGTCTTTACCCTAAGGCATTAGCTGGCTATCTAAAGACTTAACATGTTCGTACAAAATCTGTTCTTGGTCATCAGTAAATGTCCTTTTCAAGTGTAAGCTACCAAATTCTGGTTTAATTTCTATCACCTGTCATTGTGATAAGGACTTAATTCTGTCCCCCAAAGTGCTCTTTGGGACAGCAAACCTTGTCTTATTGTTAATTTCTTCAATAAAACTTGGTTGATTGCTTGTTTCATATTAGATTCATACCATTTATGCCGTATTTTCCCCATGTTCGAACACCTAAAAATATTTAACGGGAGGTTATTATCGATTACGTTAAATTGTTTTTAACATTATTTCAATAATTTATAACCTAATCATTCTGTTCGATACTACCCGACGCGAGCTTGTCCGATACTATCCGACCAACATGGTCCGTCATTTTGCCTACCATTTCCGTACTAACCAAACTAAACTAATCATTCGCCTACAAAACAAAGTACAACCCATTTACTATCAAATAATGATGTTTTTAACAAAAAGTACTTTCTCAGTTTAGCACACTGATGTCTTAAACATAAGAGAGTACGGGCACAAAAATCATGACGAAAAACTAAAAAATCGTCACAGCACCGACGTTTACTGAGGCATGAAACTCGTATTGGCGCTCTCGTAGTCTTTCTCCTAGGTGCTTCTGCTGATGTCCTATTCAGTGCTGCCTCTTGCGGCAAAAGCTAGAAACAGCGTTTGTCCGATACTACCCGCTGTCCGATACTACACGACTTTCCCCTAACGTAACAGAAAACAAAACAATAGTCATTTGTGTAACTAGTGGGCGAAGTGGCTTGTTGCTTCACACGAGAGAAATGTTTACACGCCGTAGGCGAGTGTGGAAAGTTTCTCGAGTGCATCAAAGGCAGTTTGCACTCAAGTTAGACATTATATTTTCCTACAGTTACTATAAAAAATATAAATAATTAGACTTTCAAACATTGTACAACACGTTTTTAGGTTTAAGTTAAATTCAAACATGGAAAGAAATCGGAAATGCTGCACCAGCTTATCGTAGTCGTAATATCTTTATGTGTTGCCAACTTATTTCAAAGTGTACACGTATTAATTGCCTGATAAAAGTACGCTGTTTTGTGTTTGGTTGGAATACTGGTGTGCGCCGTGCGGCAAAAGTAAGTAAATGCAGCAGTTAGCAACTTTCTATACTATAATCAGTGCAAGGAAGACCACTTTTTGACTGTAGGACTGTAGGACTGTAGGAAAAACATATTTAATAACAGTAAACAAACATGCTGTTGCAAAATAAATATTCAAATAAATGATACAATATACAGCTGGGAAGAAGTTGACGCCACATCAGCCCCCTGAGGAGACTGGAAGTCTAGGAAGATTGAATTTTATCCTTTGATCAGACAGAATTGATAGGTCTTGGATAAAGATTACGGCCGTTTAGAGTTTGGATATTTTGTGCTACTTTGCTGTCTTTGATTGTTTGAGTTAATACGTTTGCCGAGTAACACATATGCTGGCTTCTCTCTGTCTTAAGCTCACTCGTACTTGCTGTTTACCATTCTTGATATTACCAAGGATTTTTCATCGAGAGATCGCTACTTTTTCCACCTATACACAATTTTATTGCGAATATTGTTACTGATTAGTACCCTCCTTGGTGCGATCTAAAAGTTGTTACATGTTTTTTGTAACTTTACTCCTTAACCCTAAAACTTATGTTTAATGTAAAAATATAAAAGATTTTACCACTTTTATGAGGTTATAACAGTTTCTTTACCTATAATATAAGCACAAGGGAATTTGAACTGTAAACAGTTTAAAGTAATATATAGCTTACACTAAGCTAGGAATACAAAAGTAACTTATCATGTAAAAAATTCCCCTCCCCTTCTAAATCGATTTCCCCCTTATATCTATCTTATGGCCACCGCACGTGCATCAGTCTAAATCACGTTTAAACCTCCCTCTTTATTTAAGAATCTCCCTCATGTTATTCTTACGGGAAATAATTTTTTAAGTTCCTGACTTTAATTGAAATGGGGATCAGAAACAATTTAAAACCAAGGTAGAGACTTGACGTTTTTTTGTGGAGGACCGTCTTAGACCTGAACCACCTACAAACATAAAAAATCATACATCTTCAGATTTTTACTCCCTAAAGTATTAAAAAAAAACAATTTTTGAGAAATTGCTTTTTCTTGAAACGGCTTTAACTAAAAAACGGTGACCTAGAAAAGGATTGAAAGAATTTTCACTGTCAGAAATTAAATTTTCAACGATACGCTCTTAGGTGTTTTCCCAAAAACCAACCCCAAAAAAACGTCCTTCTTAGATTTAAAGAACTTCTTGGATTTTCAACGGGTTTTTAATTATTTAAATTACTTTTCGGATATATATTTGTACTTTTAATGAACTCAACTCTGTAGTAAAACTTCCAAAAGTGACATTTAAATAATTTCATCCCCTCAATAAAATTAAAAATGATAGATTTTCAAAGTATTCAACATCTTTTATATGTGCACTACTTGTGCAATTGTATATTGTCACTGCTTCACATACGTGCTAGATACTTGACATCTAGTATGATGACGTACTTATGCCCTAAATATTTAAGAAATTTCCATTATTAAATGTTTAACCTCTCCCCTCCTAAACAAATTATACAACCTTCCCAGAACAATTCTTAAACAACTTTCATGGTGCTTAGGACTTTCTCGTATCTTTCAAAAGCATTAGTCTTCGGTTATAACCTAGGAATACTTAAAAAAACATACTAAATTTCACCCCCCTTACCAAAATTGAACCCCCCAATATTTCAAAAAAAATTCTACCTGAGCATTAGTCTAAATTCAGGGTCTGCATTCAAAAATTAAACAATCAATTATGAAGTTTTACTTTTTAAAAAACATTTGTGCAGAATCTCTATTAAAAACATTATATCTTGCATTAATAAATTCAAGATTACAATATGGGCTAATTTGTGGGGCGGAACATTTAAAACTTTTATAAATAGATTAAGAACCACTCAGAATCATTTTTTGCGCATAATTTTAGGAAAACTGGAAGAGAAAGTTCTATAAGAAAGTTCTTGAATAATGCCAATTCAAAATCTTTATAATATTAAGGTTTTAAAAGCTTTTTTTGTGCAAAGTGGGAATAATGGAACTGAAGACCTTTACTACAACACGAGAAGAATAGATAAAATGATTGTTAGAACACCCAAGGTCAACAAAGAGATTTTTAAACATTCGTTTTTATTTCTAGGTCCTTTCATCTATAATCAATTAGCAATTGAAATAAAAACATGCAATTCTATTAACCTATTTTCAAATAAAGTGAAAGATTGGTTATTTAATATTGAGGATACTTGGTGTCTCAGGAGTATTTTGCAATAGGCTGTTTGAATTTTCTCATTGTGTATTGTATAGAAGTATGTTATTTTAAGTAATATTTATTAGTGATATTATATTTTTGTTAAAAAGATACTTTTATTTTCTGTTACATAAGTTAAAATTTTAATTTTTAAGAAAATGAAATTGTCACAGGCAGTGGTAACCCTGTAATCAGTTAAGTGGAAGACTGGACTCACTGATACGATACTGATACCTAAGTTTCTCTATACACTGGCCACAAGTACTGGATAAAGTGGCCAGTTAATTTCCAAGCCAATTTTGTATCCATTGTGTGTTTTTATTGGAGGAAATAAATTAATTATTTCATTATTTCAATTAGAATAGACAGGCAAAAAACTTGACATGTAGCAGGATTGTTGCCCCAAAGTTTCAACATTAAAAATCTTTAAATATTAACGTTATTTTTATTTGTCTTGGCTTCTTGCCGCTTATAGGTCTTGGCCTCTATCAACCCCCCCCCCCCCAACCAGAAGTTTTAAATTCTCCCTATGTTATTTTTATGGGGAATAAGCTCTAAAGTGGCTTACTTTGGTATGCTGACAGAACTGTTAAGAAACGTGCTAGAGACTTGAAATTTACCAAGGTTGTAGTAAGTAATCTAATAAGCCACCACCCTACAATGGGGGCCTGTCGGCGAGCCAAAGGCGAGTTGTAAATATAATCTCGTTGAAGTGACAAAGAAGAATACAATTCTATTATTTAAACCATTATATCCATTGAAATATCATTATAGCTGAATGATCTGCTACTCAATTTCTCTAGTATAGGCTACACACAAATAATAACAGAACATTATTTATCATTGTACAAAATTTACTTACAAAACCTGGAGTGATTCCACCAAACACTATATTTGGCTTTTCAAGAATCTTGTATTTATTCTTCTTGTCCACTTTGAAAAGGAACCCAGCGTTTACATAAGCATGAGCGTTTTGGGCTCTTGGGGTTATCTAAAACAACAAATATTTACATTGTCAACCACAGATGTAGTTTAAGAAGGTTTACATGAAAATATTCAAGTCAAATGATCAAGTTCAAGTTCTCGATTTGAATTATACAGTAACAAGATACACAAGCAGTGCTAGATGAATTTTTTTTTCAGGTAGCTACAAGTATAATAAATGGGATATGAAACTCTTGCATTAGTATAGTAAGGTAGATTTATTTGTAGAACACATAAACATATAGCTACTTAAATTTCAACTGCAATGCTACAAGTACCTTGAACGTTCTGCAGATATATTGATCACTGTTGATTGATGGCATGATGATTTTAGTCATCAATTTTTTTGTCATATCAAAGTCTCGAAATTCCAAGGGTGACATGGTTGTTTCCTGCTCCATAGCATCCTCTAAAGGTACATAAATAACTTTTTACTAATACAAGTTGTAGTAATAATAAATTTCCCTAATTTTATTTTCGACAAATTACACTTTATATGCATAAACAGTGCAATGTTCCAAAGTAATAATTTCAAGTGTGATAACTAAGGTCATTCTTGTTCCCAAAGATTTATATTTTAATCTTAAAACAGCAAGTAAAAATGTAATTGATATCAAAAACAAAAATTATAAACTGAAGATCAAGTAAGAAAACCAAAAATTCCAAATTAAATTTGGGTAAAAATGTGTGCTGCGTTACTAGCATTTATAGATGCAGCATATTTGTAAGCAACCTGCAAAATTTTAATAAAAGTGGTTTAAATACCTGTATTGTTGATAATCCAAATGGTTGCGTTACGACTAGTTTTGGCTCTCAATGGAGCTATCATCATCGGGAACTAAATTTTCTCTGGATTGAACTGATAACGTTTTTAATTGACAATCAGGCGAGTGTACTTTAATTGCTCAGTTTCTCAGCAAATAAAATACCGAGCTGTATTGTATATTGAAAATAGACTTACCACAAACAATGACAGCTCGAACGGTTTCAAGCATCAAGAATATATCTGATGGGAACTCCTTGTGCTGATTCTTGATAGAAAGGTTACCAGCTAATGTTCCAGTCTAAAATAAAAATTATAAAACTATACCAATCGTTTTTGTACCAATATTAAGTACAGTAACCTCGTTTGATATTGAATGGGCATAATTAGAAAGGGTGGTATGGAGTTTTTGAGAATTCCAAATCATGCTAAACCCTCTCAGTTGATTTTCTTCAAGCAACCATAAAAAATAAAAAAAATAAGATGAATAGTAAACATGGACCCGTTACTCAATCTTACCACATTAATTTTATTTAACACTTTAAGCACCAAATGCCAAGAGTAAGAAAAAAAATCTTTATTTACAACTGTTTATGCTATAGCTTAACAAAATGGTTGATCGTTATGTATATAATCAATCACCAAGTATTCTCAGGTATTATCTCTTGAACCAGGCAGTGGCGGATCCAGAGCCACTCCCTCGGGCATACATATACATATTTTTTTACTGCATGTAATACAGTAGTGCATACACATTGCGTAAAATAATTTGTCACACTAACTTTGGAAAAAGAAATGGTATAAAACTGCCATTTTGGAGACTTAGTTTACACAAATTGTTCAGGGGGGTACTCCCGAACCCCCCAGACTCCCCGATTGCCCCCCCCCCCCTTGTGACTGTTCTAGATCCGCCACTGGAACCAGGAGAAAATACTCCAGATCAATGGCATGGTCTGGTTTGGTCTAAAACTCATAAGGAGTTTGTCTGTCGCTGACCTAGATGGTAGAAGTCCACCTACAAGACTCTGTGGACAAGTCTTTAGATAGAATGGGATGATTCTTTAACAATCAAAAGCTTGTTTTGTAAAACAATAAATTTTGTGTTCAAAAGATGACGAATATACACAATAAAAATGTCTATTAATTACACAACCATGCTCTTAATTCTCATTAAACTACGGTATTTAAATCAATATTTACAACTAAGTCTTACATTTCTCACTGGGACATTTGCTACAACATCTATATGATCAGCAAGAGTCTTCAAGTAGCCGAAATTCTTTGGATCCTGAACACTCTTCTTGTAGAAGAATTCCATTGTTGCAGTTAGAGAGTTGTTGGCCCCTAACACTATTGTACCACCAGCCTCCACGATTGAGTGGAGTTGAGCTACATTACTTGTACTGATGTAGTGCTTCACTGGTGATCTCCGATACACACCTAGACAACAAAAACTCCAATCAATCTAGATTTCTTTCTAAATTTGCCATGTAAAGGTCAATAGTCAAAAGTCAAATCATCACTTTTGCATTAGATAAAGTAAACAGAGTTGGACAAACAGGCAGACATTTTCTAGGCTCATAAAAACTTAAGAAAATACAGTAAAAAAAAATATAAAACCTCATTCCATACCAGATCTACTAGATATATCTACCAAATATAGTATTGTAATATTACTTAAAAATTATCCATATAATAGTACTCTTAATTTTAAAAAGTTAGTGATTTCCATATCAAATACCTCAAATGGTTGCATTGATATTATGATTTTGGTACTGACATTTTTAATACATTTTCCTCGAGTATATTGCAAATTTTCAAAAAAATAATAATGTGGATCATTGCAGGAGGCATAAGTTTATGGTGATGGACTGTTGATGTTTACAATTAGTAATATATGGTCTCAGCATACTAACATATACTTTCTCCCTTATTAGCTTGTGATAAACTCTTGGGTAAGATGTGTGGGAGTAACTGATGTTTTATGCGTGAAATCACAAAAACTGCAACAACTTTTGAACTGTAATTTTTACAGCATTGGAAGTTGTACAATTTTATTTTAAGTTAAAAGGACCATAACACCTGTACATACAGACACACACACAGACATCACTTTGAAAACCACTTTTTTGGGTTTAGGGGGACCCAAAACGGATATTTCCCCTCAAACTCAAATATTTTGACGAAAACAATACTTTTTTCCATATTGTATGTATAGGGGGAGAAAATAAAAATAAAGAAGTACACTATTCTGTGAACTCTGAGAAATATCTATACTTTGCCAGTTTATTGTTATTTAACTTGTTGAATGTTACCCTGGTTAGTAGTGAGAATGTAGCTGATATACTTTTGATATCAATAGTTTGTTATAAGCTTCCTACCATCTACAGCAAAAGTAACCAAGGAACATGTCAGGTACAAGTATTCCTTAAAGCCCTATTATCAGAAACATCATGTAACAATGATAATGCCACACAAATACCATGAGAATTGATTTAGAACTAACCATGAGCTGTATTTCCTCCCACCAACATATAGTCGGAGTCGTCACACATATCCAAGATCTCAAATATCTCCTTCTTATCATTGACGTAGTACCAGAACCCGTTTTGAAGCTCGAGTCTCCCAGAAGAGTAGTCTTGCCAATCCACGACCTCCGTGTCCTGTTGGCAAGGTCCTCCATTGCAGGCCCCGTTCTGTCGGCATGGCTTCTTCTTAAGAGGGCAAATGCTTAGGAGATCCTAAAAAGTTTACCTCAAATTATTATTGAACAACTTTTGTTAATCTTTCACATGGATAAGGATTCAAAAGTGTTGTTTAATATATTGTAAATAAAATGCTATTTTATATTCACTCTGTCTAGTAATTCCTTAACCTATTCCATGGATGTTCTAATGTTTCAAAAGGGCATTTTTAATTTACTCTAATTTTTTTTTATAACATAAATTAAAAAAATGTGTGTAGTATACATTGTAAATAGGCCTATTGGGTCTGATGATGATTGGAGTGTCTAATGAAAATCGATCACCCCACCTTTTACATGCATTTACCGTCTTGTGAGTTAGTATAGGTGTAATATATGTTTCAAGTGTTTTTAGACATTTGCTTTCCGTATGTATTGTGAGAACTTCAGGAGAAATTCAGGTACCTGCTGATGATAGTGTCTTTACCTAATGTTGTTGTGAACATGAATAAATGTGTCTAAAATAGAGAATGATGGAACAATCTATTACATATTATCTTGATCTCACAATATAAGGTTGTTGTTAAACAATCATTCTCATCTTCTTTTTGATAAAAAATATATCTTACTCACTTCAATGTCAGAACATTTTTTCACAAGTTCTGTGGGAGCGTCTTCAGCGAAGGACTTGAAGGAATCGAGGATAGGTCGGTAGCCTGTACAACGACACAGGTTGCCACCAAACGAGTTCTCTATTTCTGCCATAGTAAGCTTTGGATTTTCCTTCAGCAAGCTGTAAAAATAACAGGAAAATAATATCTTACTGACTTACTTACCTTTAAGTAACCATTCATACATTTCAATTACAAATTTTACCCCTAAAAGGGTGGTTTCACATAGAAGTAAGGTATAGAGGAAACATTCAATGGTACACTTAAGTGGTTTCTAGCACTCGTCGCTGGTGTCTTGGGCAAAGTCCAACACCTCCTCACCTTCATGTACAACGCTCAAGTGGAGGTAAACCCTGTGCCCTGTGTGATAGGAATTTCCGTACAGTGCTCACTGCTCAGGTTCTTCCTTGCTCATCATTTTCCCCATACAACACACCAGAGCTGAAAGCTCATGGTCGCCCCATAAACTAGTTTCCTCTATACCTTACTTCTCTGTGGTGGTTTCCAATATCTGAATGGCTTAACATTTATTTTCCTATGATAAAAACGAGTGAAGAGATTCATCTGAATATTATTTTATCCCTCCAATCCAACTAACCTGTACATATTCATGACCATTCCTACACTGCAGTATCCGCACTGAGATCCGTTACCCATTGCCAAGCGGGTTTGAACATCGTGGTACCCGACGTTCTTGTTGCCCACTCCTTCTATGGTTGTTATCTTCCATCCTTGACAAGCGAACAGAGGCACTAGACACTGAAAAAGTTATCAAATTTAAATAAAAGTTCTGGTGATGACTTTTACATGTCTCTTTTACCCTTTTACCTCTCTAAAACAGCCAAGCGAGCATAGCTTTTATTTCAAAAGAGGAATGGGTCTCAAAATACCCAGGATCAAGATCAAAGACAATTAAAATGGTTACTGGAATTAATAAAACGGAAATACTAAGCATGCATATACTACATAGTAACAAATAAATCTGTTATTGTAAATAATAACAATCAGTTGTCTTATGCAATTAAATGACATTACAAACTTAATTTGAGTGGTTGTCAAATGTTATCAGCTTTATCAGTAACATTTGCCCCCTTGGATTGTTTGAAGTGTATCAACTGATTTTGTCCTACTTGTGTAGTGCTTTTGTTTATCAATTACTGGAACCCAAATTTTGGTAACAGTCATAAACTAATGTCAGTATTACCGTGTACCGTAGATGGGTAACCATAGATTTTCTGAACCAGATTAACAAAGATACACTCAAACTTAATTATATAGCTAAAAAGTGTCATGAATTACTCTTATTGAACTTCAATATAGTTACCGTAACGACAAAATATAGGTATTGCATAAAAGTAACAACTTTTAGACTTTTTTAAGAATGTCTCCAATACAGAGATAATTCTCCATTTCTAAATGTAAGCTCCAAACTACTTGAAATTTTGTTGCTTCTGTAGCAATTCTTAGCTACTAAAATTAAGGTGTTGAGTATGAAAACAAAAAGATTTTAAAGTAATAGTTTTGGATTAAAAGATTATAAATTTTTCATCCATATTTAACTATAAAAAGAACATTGATTATTTGAAAACATTTATATAAACCTCGGGGTGCACAGAAGGAGCCTCCCCGTAGATTGTGACCATTACACGCTAAGAACGACATCACAATCGGGTGCACCCTGGGTAACGTTGACATCTCAGCGGCAAATCCTTCTACAACCGGAAGACTTCGAAAAATGAATCTACCTAAACGGTCTTTTTCAAGGCCATTAATAACGATCTCAATTAATATCGAGGGAATATCGAGAGACAAAGAACTGACAAAGTACTGTCTGATATGTGCAAGACGTACAAATGAGACTTCCTCCTTGTGCAAGAAACACACCGGGGCATTTTAAAACCTAGACCCAACATTAGGGAATGAGACTGATTCTAGAGAGACCTCATGATCAATATGGTAGTGCTGTTTTTGCCAGGCCATACATTGACATCACCTCAGCTTCGCTGACTGAGAGGAACAATACTGAGATACTAACGGTCAGGACACCACAGTACAGTGTCACCTCTTTGTATAAGCCTCCCGAATCTCAGTATGTATTTACAGAGCCCGATAATCTATGCTATGATGACATTAATTTAGTCTTGGGGGATTTTAATTGTCAGAACATTGCTTGGGGATACAAAGAGACAAGTGAAAATGGGACAAAACTTGAAACCTGGGCTGAGGCAAATGACCTGCAGCTCATACACGATCCTAAGCTCCCTTGCTCCTTTAACGGTAGATGGAAGAGGGGTTATAACCCTGACAACATCTTTGTGAGCAGCAGGATTGCCTCCCAGTGTGAAAAGTCTGTAAGTGATCCGATTCGCCGAACTCAACACAGACCTATAGTATGCACCGTTAGTGCTGTTGTTAAACCTGAAGTTGTTCCTCTAAGACGCAGGTTTAATTTCAAAAAGGCCAACTGGACGGGTTTTAGGGAGATCATTGACAGAGAAATCGCCAATATCCCTCCACAACCTGATATGTATGACTCCTTCGTTAAGCTTGTCCAGCAGGTCTCGAGACAAATGATACCTACAGGCTGTTGAACCCATTACATCGCAGTACTCTCTGAAGAGGCAAAGCCATTGCTAGAACGATACCAAGGTCTCTTTGACAATGATCCCTTTGCTGAGGACACACTTCTAGCAGGTGAAGAGCTTATGTCAGTCATTGCCAAAAATCACAAAACTAAGTGGTGTGATCTTGTGGAGAGTTTAGATATGCAGGTGAACAGCAGACGGGCCTGGAAGTTCCTCAAGAACATAAATGGAGATGCGACAAAACCAAAGACAACTTTACAACAGTTACTGCCGATCAAGTCGCTACCAACCTTCTTTTAAATGGCAAAACCTATGGAAGGATATACCGGGAGCCTGTTGTGCGTGATGTGGCAAGTGAGAATCACTTCCTGGAAGAACCATTCTCCAAGTCCGAGCTAACTGCAGTCATTACCAGCTTAAAGACTAATAGAGCTCCAGGTATTGACGAGATCAGAGTCGAACAACTAAAGAACCTAGGTAAAAATGCCATGCAATGGTTGTTGAGCCTCATGAACATGTGCGTAAGCCAAATGCATATACCAAAGGCATGGAGGAAAGCTCGTGTGGCTGCACTGCTCAAACCTGGGAAAGACCCAAACGATCCTAAGAACTTTTGACCACTCTTATGCCACACATATAAAATATTAGAACGTCTGATACTCAATCGAATCGGCGATTTTCTGGAACAAAAGATCATTCCACAACAGGCAGGCTTTCGATCAGGCAAGTCTTGTTGTGGTCAAGTTTTAAACCTGACCCAGCACATTGAGGATGGGTTTGAGAGAAAACACATCACGGGTGTCGCTTTTGTAGATTTAACAGCTGCCTACGATACCGTAAACCATCGAAGACTCTTGGGAAAAGAGTACAGCATTACCAAAGACTATCAGCTGACTTCAATGATAGGCACTTTTCTTCATAACAGGTGGTTTTTCGTGCCCCTTCAAGGCAAGAAAAGTAGATGGAGGAATCAAAGAAATGGATTGCCTCAGGGTAGCGTCTTAGCCCCAGCTCTTTATAACATTTTTACACTAACGACCAACCGTTGCCAAACGCTACACATCAGTATATATATGCCGATGATACAGTGGTGGCGGCACAAGGTAGGAGTTTTGAAGAGGTGGAATAGAAGCTGACTTGACTCTAAATGAACTTTCCCAGTACTATGACGCAAATCACCTCAAGCCGAACCCTGCTAAGAGCCAAGTTTGTGCCTTTCACCTAAACAGTAGAGAAGCAGGCCGTGAGTTGAATGTGAGGTGGCGGGGAGACCGTCTTCAGCATTGTCCTACAACCAAATATCTTGGTGTCATACTGGACCGCACACTGACATTTAAGGTGCATTGTATTGCGACAAGAGGAAAAGTCTCAGCGAGGAATAATATCATCAGGAAGCTCACCAGCAGATGCTGGGGTGCTAATCCTAATGTCCTCAGAACCTCAGCTTTAGCGATCAGTGTGTCGGCTGCGGAGTACGCTGCACCAGTATGGGATGCATCGTCAAATGCAAAAAAGGTTGACATTGCAGTCAATGACATGGCTCGGATTGTAACTGGGTGTTTGAAACCAACCCCAGTACACAAACTCTATCCTATCATAGGGATCGCCCCTCCATCAATCCGACGTGATGTCGCTGCCGACGCAGAAAGGACTAAGCAAGAGACAGACCCTCGTCACCCAATACACGGCCACCAACCTGCAGAGTGACGGCTTCGGTCCAGAAAGAGCTTTTTATCACGGACACGAGCCCTGGATGTATCACTCTCAAGCAATCGGGTGGCAAGGTGGGAGGCCACGTTGACTAACCCTCCCATACCAGCCAGGGAGGAACTGGCTCCTGGTGGAGGCCTTCATTACACGGTGTGGAAGACCCTAAATCGAATCAGGGTCGAGGTACCAAAATGCAAGACAGACATGCAGAAATGGGGTCTCTTACCAGACGAAGAAAACATCTTGTGCGCGTGTGGTGCTGTTCAGGATCCTGGCCATCTCCTGATCTGTCCACGCCTAGACCAGTCTTGCACATTAGATGATCTTTTACAAGCGAATGACAAAGCCATATTGGTAGCAAATTTTTGGAAAAGCGAAGTCTGATTTCCGGACAAGGAAAGTAAGTAAGTAAGTATATAAACCTTGCTTTGAAATTAAGATTTGTCACACTTTAAAACAGTTAGAAATAAAAGTAATACTTGTATTACACTACATATCACTATGATACTTAGTTTCTTTTTAGGAAAAATTCTTGGTTTAGGAATATTCTAAGAAGCAGATTCACAACTATAACCTGTCCAAGAAAAAGAGTTCAAGGCAGTTCAAGAATACATAAGTCCACAACTTATTTAACTTGAAGCCCTGCTAGGGGGCTTCTTTGGAAAAAAGTAGGGAATAGCCAAAGTAAGGGATGAAGTATGCAATAGATGAAACCACTTTTTTTCTGAAGAAACTCCCTTGTGGGGGGGGGGGGGGGGAGAATATCAAATACCTAGATATGCAACTGGACACCCACACCAGGCTTAAATGTGTTTGTAATTGTGTTGTGAAATTTTTAATTGCAAGTAAATGTTTCCTTGGGTAAGTTAGTTGTTATCAATTCCTTCCTCATCATTGTGATATTTAGAATCCCTTGGTGACTATATACACACGTCCCTATGCACTCTAAGCAACCACTACTATTACTTTCCAAACCATGTAGACAATGACCTGTGTAGAGAAGATTACAGTTTAACTACAATGCCACTCACAGAGTTAACGGCGTAAGTAATTGTTTTGCCAGTGGTAGGATGTTTTGATTGGACAGTCACTATGCAGGCTCCACAGCCCCCCTCTAGGCACATGTACTTGGTCCCCTTCAGGTGAGCATGGTTCCTCAAAAACTCGTTTAGACTCATGTTAGCATCCAGATGGTCAGCAACTGAACAGAGCATGTATTAAATTATTTTTGGGAAAATGTGTATTTAACACTTCAAGTGCAGGTAGAACTGTCTATGCTAGTCTGTAGTCAAGTTTATTTGGACTGAAGGATTGGGTCTATGTCCTAATCCAGTTTTTTTTTTTTTTACCGATGCAGCAGCTAGTCCCTTATTACTGCTGCTCGACTATAGATACTTCATGGAGGAAAGCACAAATATTGCTTTTGAACAATAATTTTTTCAGTGATAGGGGTTTTACCATTTTGTTAAGTGTAAAATGGATTAAAACATTATAAATTTAGATTAAAATAATTTGAGATGTTTTTTTTTTTATCTGCTTATACCAATTTTTATTGGGGGGTTCTGGAATAATCATCATTAAAAATTTAAATAAAAAAATGTAAAAACAAAACAGGCGTTATGTATTAATAACCAAATGCCAAATTTCATCAAAACCAAACCATACAGGTGTGGTCTGTAGCTCTGTACACATAGAGACACACACACAGACATCACTTCAAAACCCCTGTGTTTTAGGTTCAGGTGGACCCAAATTGGATATTTCCACCCAAAACTCAAACTCAAAATTTTGACGAAAACAATAGGCCTACTTTCCATATACTATGTATAGGGGGAGAAAATAACGGTATATATAGTGCACCAAATATTTGCTAAATTAAATTTAAAAAATGTAGGTATTTTTACTTACTTGGATAGTTTTTGCCATTGATTGAAATGGACGAAACCTCTTTTACACCCCCCATTCTGAAAAATACAACATAAATCATTGTTAAATTTACCATCACTAACATTTTTTTTATAGATATATTAGTATAGTATTATAAGTATATAGTGGGAGGATCACTATAAAGGTGCAGGCAAAGTAAATTGGTATATATTTAAGATATGAAATAAACAGTCGTTTTGTAAAGGCAAACGAAATAAGTAGTCATATCTATACTACAAATCAATATTTATAAGAGAGAATTATTCATCACCAAGAAGAAGTCTATAGGAGAGAGAAGAATCAATAGATACTTCATCAGAGAGAAGTATATCCGTCAGTAAGGGATCAATTTGTGAGAGAAGTATCTATAGGTACGTAAGAAGTTTATAGGAGAGAGAAGTATCAATAAATGATTCATCAGAGAGAAGTATATCCATCAGTAAGAAGAGACCAATTTGTGAGAGAAGTATCTATAGGTAAGAAGTCTATAGGGGAGAGAAGTATCAATATAGATACTTCATCAGAGAGAAGTATATCCATCAGTAAGAAGAGATCAATTTGTGAGAGAAGTATCAATAGATACTTCATCAGAGAGAAGTATATCAATCAGTAAGAAGAGATCAATTTGTGAGAGAAGTATCTATAGGTAAGAAGTTTATAGGAGAGAGGAGTATCAATAGATACTTCATCATAGAGAAGTATATCCTTCAGTAAGAAGAGATCAATTTGTGAGAGAAGTATCTATAGGTAAGACGTTTATAGTAGAGGGAAGTATCAATAGATACTTCATCAGAGGTATATCCATCATTAGGAAGAGTGAAGAAAAGCACAACTATCACTATCATGTCCTAAGGTGTGTATTTCATTTTTTTATTTACTGACTATAGTTCAAAGTATTCAGCTTCAATTCAAGCTTTTAATTAAAGTAAAAATAAGATCATCAACAAATTTGAGTTATAGGTATGCAAGTTTTTAGTTAAAATAACTACAGAAGTAGCAAAACAACCGAATGGACACTTCTCTTTGTTAGTAAGCGTAGGAATACAACCTGGCACCTGGTGGGGATACAATCCTTGGATCTACTGGAAACACTGACCCCCCTCCCCCCAACATAAAGAGTACCTCTTGAAAATTGACCGCCATTTTGAGTCATTTTCCTACACATTGCCTTTGTCAGTACCACAGCAATACTGAAAATCTTTCTTTAATATTTTGTGCAAAATATTACTTAAATGTTTGATAAAATACTTGAAAAACACCAAATAAAACATGTTAAGCCAAAATAGGATTTGCATATACCTAGCTGTAATGTAGTCCAACAATTAAGATCGCTCAGTAACTTACATGTTTTGTTGTAAAGACAACATTTTCAAAGCTTGTAAATTGCCATAAACACCAATAGAACGAATAGTGTTTTTGATGAGTTGCAAGCTTTGAAAATGTTGTCTCTACAGCAAAACAGGTGACCTTCTGAGCAATCTTATTCATTATAGATATGATATACCACGAACAAAACAACCTGCGAAAAGATCACGTGGTTCGCGCCGGTAGGTGTGGCTTACCATTCAAACCTGCGCGGCTCGAAACGGCCCAGGGTTCTTTTGTTTCTGGTATTACTATAATTATAGACTATTTGATAGAGCAGATGTAAGTAAAATCAATTAAAAAAAAAGTCCAGTGGTCAACAACATGAATTTTGAAAACATTAATGCTACGTCTACTTTACTCTAGCTGTTTGATTAAAACTAATTACATGTATCCTAAGAGATCTGTCTTATTTAAAATATTTTTGGATTTACTCAAAAGTACCCTACATCAATTGGATTGTGCGCTTCACTCAAATGCCACTATTTTATCAAATTAAACCAAGAAAATTATTTTTGTTAGTTATAGAGTTCAATATTTAAAACAAAACAAGAGAAGTATTAAAACAACTAAAAGCACAATTGTCTTTATTAGTAAGAGCTGGAATACAACCTGAGCGGTGAGAATGCAGTCCTTGGATCTACTGATCCTTAAGTCGAAGAACTGTCCCCTCCTCCGCACACCTAATGTGTACCTACCTCTTGAAAAATGTCCATCATTACAAAGTGAGAGTCATAATATGCTGAGTCATTATTAGAATACCACAGAACTTGTAGAGTTACGCAATTCCCTCGACAGAATCAAAAATTTTTTACAATTAGACATGCGACGTGCGGAGTAACAATATATTATAATTGAAAGTTTTGTACAATTTTTACCATCTCCTCCACTCATGTAATTTGTACCTACCTCTTATAAATGTCTGTCATTATATGGTGGGAGTTATTATATGTGGAGTCATGATTAGTTCACAAACCTAGACAAAGCTTAACTGTATGTTGTGTTGACATGTTTATTGTGTTCTCTAAGCACGCTCATTATCATTGTATTATATTGTTATATTTAAAGGCTTTTGTGTTTTGGTTGACTACATGTACAATACAGAAATTTTTATGGTTTTGTATTGTGATTTTCCAACTTTGTCTAGGTTTATGTACTATTCTTGTTATGTTTTAGGTTCTTTCAAGCATGAGTAAGAGATCAACACTCTGTTAAATGCATACGATAATTTTTTGCTGTGTAACATAAAGCTTAATTTTTGTTCATGTATTCTTTTATACTTTCATATTTTATTCTCAATGGATGTATTTATTCATGTTAAATAATCGTTTGATACCACTTAGTTGCATAGGATTTATTATCATTATACATTCTTTTAGCTTTGAGCTTCTATCATTGAGTACACACAAGGTTTCATATCTTTTTAAGTACTTTTATCTATTTTTTAAATTATATTGTTTAGTATATGCAGTTTTTATATATTTTGATTGAATTGAGTTGGAATTCTGAGAAACTAAAAAAGGCATAATTCTACTATAGGTAAAAGTTATACCTTGCGATGTGATGGTTTTTTTTATTTTACTTCTCTGTGTTTTAGCTTAACACCCCTCCTATATGGATTTTATAACAATATCAAGTATCAATTTATAAAGTACTCCAACATTAATTTTTAAAACTATCCATTTGTGGGCTCATTCCCTCATGCAACATTTAGTAAAATCATAGTTTTCCGTAATTGCACCTCCACTTAAAAAAGATCAAGTCAAATGGAAGATGGATAATGGAGGTTTTCTAATTAATTGTACTAAGAAACACAGCATTTTTTAATGCCATTGTAAATCTTTCTGAGAATAATTCATGCTTTCTTTTACAATAACAAACATTGCACTGAAGGTCTACAACCTTGATTTTCAAATCATGCCTGTGTTTCCAAGCTATAGATCTGACTAGAATTTCAATTTGACCTACCACAAATGTTTACTTACGTCATACTGTACCCAAGGCTAATCGTGTTTTCATACATGAGTCTCATTGATTTAAAATAATAGAATTGTGTACACGTTAGAAGATTGGAGTTAATATGAAATATCTGAATATATGAAAATCAGCAGTTTTGCCACTCAATTATGGTGTAAAAAAATCTAACTCAACAACCTGAGAGATAAATGACAGAGAAAAATCATCTCCATAATTTTTTTTTGAGAATTCCATTCCTGTATTTTAAATTAAGAAAAATAAATATTCAATAATCAATTACACTAGAAAAACTAGATGTAAAATAAAAAAAAACAAACCTGCATACTAAGTAAATCTTCAGTACTCACCTTATTGACTTTTGCATTAAGAATTTTTTCCCAAATAAAATTAAATGAACGTTTATACCCATGCCTAAAATAAATAACATATTATTCTTGACAAAGTACTGCAATTAGGACTTAAAATATATGCGTAACCAATAGGGGTGTAGTATTGGTTTTTCTTAGCTAATTTTTATAGTTAAACATATTTTTATTTTTTAAAAACCTATGATAAAAAGTCCAAAGCGGAATTTCAGAGAACACAACACCCCTCTTCCCATAGTAGGATCTGGCTGGTTTGTGAACTCATTTTAAATAAATTTAGCTTTATTTTATCTGAATTTCATTCAAATTGGAGAATTTCGACAAAAGTAATCTTGCATGTAGACATGTACATACAAATTTTAACAAACCAGAATTATTTGTTTTTGGCTTGTGAGGCCGCTTAAAACAAAAAGGCACATTGTTAAACAAACTTTTGAATCACTACGATAATAGAATATATAGCTACTTCCCCATATAAAAACCTGTTTCTTGTTGAAGCTATCCAAACTTTTTTATTTTTTTTTCAGGTAATTTAATAACACATACGATTCTGATAAAGAAGTTATTCATTTTTTTTCATTCACGCAATGCCCCCCCCCCCCCTCCACCAACACGGAGAATCCGTCCTGGAGCAGCCTTTGCTACCATATTTCACATAAAATTACACATACTTTCCCTAAAATTAATAGCACGTAATATGCTGACTAAGAAGTTATTTAACATTTTTAAAACCTCAGAAAACTGCTGAGCCAAATTCTGTAGTAAAATCAAACACGTTAATAATTGAACGCAATTATTCTGATTAATATATAATTTTGCTACTTTCTACAACATTGTGTATTCTATGTCGATAACATGTTTTTGTGAATAGGGCGGTGGTGCAGGTTGTCAAGGCAAAGGTAAATAATAGTTTACGACACCCACTACTAATTATACAGACAAAACAATGGAGTTAGCAAGGACATTGCAGGCTGTAATGGGTAGGCTTACAGAGAGGTTGAAGTCTAACATTAAATCTGCTAAAATGCGCGGACCCGACTATTTCAGTTATTAAATATCCATGAGTAATTTTACTAAATGATGTTCTCTAAATATATACTATAAATAAATTGTATATGCTTATTTCCATCTACTTCATGTCAGTTAAATATCATTTCACCTCATTTGAGATGTAAAGAGAAGAGTTATTAATTGAAATTCATCATACATACAGTCCCGAAACGAATAGCTTCAACATACTCTCTACAGATTTGTGTTCTTCATGGACCAGCTGATGTTTTTTACATAATCCTCCACCGTAGAGCGTGTTTTAATGTTTATTGTCATTTGTT